GCCATTTCTATAAATCGAAAGGAGAGTGCGACCATACTAGAGGTCACAACATCTTGATCTTTATATCTTCAAGGAATGCTTATCCTTCATCTAATAAATGACGGCAGCTTTTAAAATGACTCTGCACTTTTTCGTTTATCAATGCTTTACTTTATGAGCCTCAAGATTAAGTATAAGAAGTTTAAAGGTGTACGCTAATAATCTAAGGCAGAGGAGGCATCTGGGAACAGATCAAATCACTTGATACCCTCTAGTACTTTTCAGCGTTAATCCTCATTTGCTCATTATAAGCTTCTTTTAATCTGTTACCCTGACATCGATATTGCATTAAGACGGGAACTTTTAGTCTCTATTGCTTCATTTGCTATCTACAAAAGTGAATTATCCCTGTGCGTCCAGATGCACTTTAGATAATATTTTTCAGTATTAAATATTTATCTAAAATGCTTAATTTTGGTTTTCGCCTGCGATTTAAAAAATTACCTAACGCAATCGTTATGGTGTAAAGTAATCGGTAAATAAAAATCGCTGCATATACATACCCTTCCCACCTAAAAAAATTAGGTGGAACGGCAATTGAGCCCGTGTACAAGATATTTTGGGGACCTAGCTGCCCACCGTGTTATAAGACAAGAACTATTAATTTATCCAGCCCTTTGAGGGAGCCAGATAGTATCCAAGTTGGGTGGATAATCAAATTTACTGTGTTGTCTCTGGTATGATTGGGGTCCCCTTTCGTTGTTTTTGAGTGGTTTGACTTCGTTTTCTCAACTTAGCCCTATTGTCCGGAAGATAAAAGAGAAGTGCATCTTATCTGGAGAATTCTGATATATCTTTGACAATTTGGTACATTCCCAGACGTTTCGTCCGTGTCGTCATTGCACCTTGCCCATTTTAGCACCACGCTACAACTCATCAAAGAGACAAATGAAGTCGACCATTTGACCAATTTTCTGCGACACATGAGAGTAGGGTTTCATTATTCTGCGACACAGTTGTGGTATCTCCCCTGTCCTAGTGTATTCACTTTTTCTGTATCCTCGTAACACCCTTTTGCTATCACACTTTCTCACTGGCTTGTCTAAAGCTAGTTGAGGTGTGCACTTTTGAGCGGATTTAGTGAGACCTATACACACTCTCCGCTGGCTGGAAGTACTGAACCAAGACTCCGGTTTAGTTCACAATACTCTTCCTCCAGGTCCTATCGGTCTCCCTCTAGCTCCGTATGGTCCTGCCTGTTTCACTCAGTTCACTCGATCGCTGCCACCCTATCCGTGTTACTCGATGCGCTATGTTCTAAACTTTGCCTCAAGCCTTTGGGAGCACGTATACTCCTACCTCACTGAACAGGCCCTCAAAGTTTGGATTCTCAAGTGGCATGGCAACCTAACTTGATGCTGCAGGCTCCCTTATCACTATTTGGTATGTGCACCGAATAGAGCTCGTAGCCAAGCCTTAACTCCACCGGCCAGGTCTATGATCAAATTTATTTACTAATAGCCAACTATCGATGGTCTCCGCCGAATCTTTCGATCTTCTATCCATAATGCTAAGTATATGACTTTTCTATGCCTTATTATCTTGTGTGTCAACCCCCAAATATTATAGTTGTTCTACTTGATTTGAGTAGGCTCACTTTAGATGTCTCCTCTTGGTTTCCGACGGTTCCCCAGTGGCTTCCTTACAATTTATTTTCCCTTATGTTCAAAATATTTCCACGATATAGTCGT